TGCAGGACATACATTTGGAGGGGGGGGGGGGGGGGGAGGGAGAGAGAGAATCTGGGACTGGGGGTGTGTTGGGATCCCTGCAGTATAATCAAGGCTGGTGAGAGCCAGAGTGTAACCCAAGTGTGGCTGGCAGGCTGCAGTCACACACACACACACACACACACACGCTAGGAGGCTGTTTGTGAGCAGCCTAGGTGGGAACTACTGCAGCAAGGCACTGAAAGGTGCCCAAGGGGGTGACACAGATGCTCGTTAGTCTGGATTGCACCCTGGTACGTCACAGAGGGGTCTCTCTCTGGCTCACCCGTCCCTTTCCCAAATATTCGGGATGCAGAGCTTCGCCCCTGGCCAACACTCCCGGTGAAAAGCCCTTCCTCGAGCACCACAACTGCCCTGGCATCAGCTCTCCAAGGGAGATCGGTTCTGTTGCTTACGCCAGCCGGTACATTACGCCGAAGAGCTCTGGCAGACGGGCAGGGCAGTAGTGCACTGAGCATAGTGCCGATAGACAAAGGCCTGAGCTCTATCCCCAGCAGTCACATAGACTCAGGGGTGCCGAGAGTCTTGCCCTAGGGGCAGAATGATGGCTAGAAAGCCTGGGAGGGCTTATTTTTAACGTTAAGGGCTCCCCCACACCCACCACTTGTTTTTCACCTTAGAAATTCAGGCCCTGTCTGCCCTGTCTGGCAGAGTTATCCGATCATAAATCTGAAGGAACTGATTGAGCGGGGAAGCAATTTTTATTCAAACTGTTTAAAACTCTGCTTTTATTTTGTTTTCCATTATCACTGATCGAATAATTGAGAACCACGGGGGAGAAAGGAATCCCCGTACGGAGTCTATGCCCCAGACTGCAAAGACAGCTCCCAAGCCACAGTTCTGAGACCTCCAACAAACCCTCCAGAACACCAGGGAAGACCAGACTGGACATTCTGGCTGGTTTTAAAGTAACACACAAGAAGAAAGAGATTTTGAAAACACAGGCCGCCTTCATACAGCAGAAAAGGGTGTTAAGCCACACACCTCCCAAAAGCCTTTGGTGACTGCATTCAGGACACTGCATACAAACATCCTGCACTGAGTTTGCAAGCAGATCTGACTCCGGGCTGCTCGCTCTGCTCTATATCAGTGCTGGGACATGTGATTATTAAAGGGAAAATAAGCCCCAGGGGGTGTGAATTTTAACCTGCTGTATTGAGTAAACGTAGGGGCACAGCTGGGGTGCAGCGGCACCTTTCCCTACAGCAGCCAGACTGTTTTCAAAAGAAGGGAAAAGTTTCTCTCTTCAGGAAGGAGGAGCAGTGGCCTTCGGGAACTCCAATACACGAGAGCCTTGTTATCTTTCTATTGCAAGATCTCACGGCTTATTTCGAAGGTGCTGCTTCCACGTCTCTTCTCCGGGGATTAGGCTGAAAGTGTTCCTGCCACGCACTAAGTACTCATGCGTTCTCCTGCTCAGGTTGTGAATGGCTGGTCATTTCTAGCCACGAGCTATGGGCGAGGTGGGCTGCTATTCAGAGCAATCCTTTGCACCTTCCAGCAGAGGATCTGAAAGCCCTTTACAAACACCCAGTACGGTAGGGAAACATCCCAGCTCCCATGGGATGTTCGCCAATCTGAGCCCTAGTTTACAGATGGTCCCTCTCAAGCCTCCTGTGTCTATGGGGTCAGGCAGAGAGGGGTTAATTAGACGGGATTCTGATCGAATGAGTGGGTTTTAAGTTACACCTTTCAGGGCAGGGGTGGAACAACTGTGCAGGCCTGGAGTCAGAGCAAGTGGACATCACCCCGAGATAGAAGTGATCCTGTAGCATCACTGGTTCTCCTTTCCCATCCCTCCATGGGATATTGGCCTTAAATGCTTCCTCTTCTCATCAAACGAATGGTCAAGGGAAGGTCACTTGGGAGCCCCTATTTACCACTCAGAAAAGAGAACCAAGGGATACACCCAACGAAATTAAAAGGCTCCACGTTTTAAATGATCAGGTTGTGGAGCTCATTGTCACAGGCCACTCTCATGGCAAATCGCTTCGCGGGATTAGACACCGAGGGTGAGCCTGCAAAGCCTGGGGCAGCCCACAGCAGCACGCCTTCCAGCCTGGCGCACAGAGCCAGGCCCGCGCTAGCAGGTTCAAAATAGCCACGGGGACAGTGCAGCTCGGGCTCTCAAGGCCACCCTCCCGCCTGAGCCCAACACCTGCACAGCTATTTTGAGCACGAGCCCCGCAAGCCCAAATCCGGTGAGCCAGGCTGGGAAACGCACTGTGTGGGCTGCACAGACGTACCCTACACAAACCTCAAACATGGGTACCCAAGCTAGGGGGAAAACATATAAAGGGACCCCAGCCTCCATCCATCAGGACAAACCAGGCATGGGCTGCCTGGTTTAGGAAGAAATCCCCTCCACAGACATATGTTGTACAGTGCTGAGTACTTAGTCAGCGCTCAAACAACACATAACAGCACTATTATTTGTGGGGATCTACTTATCTTCATCCAGTGTAAAACTGGACAGACAACAGCACGTTTGCAACAGGCTGAAATTTGGCACAAAAAAGGTGTTCACACATGTGCAGTAACTGCTCGTGCGAGTGATGAGGTGCAGTGGTGATAACTGAGCAGTCTTGTGCACACCTGGCCAGTGATGCGTCAGTGACACGTTACCAAAGCTTCCACTCCAAAGTGTAAAAAGCCAGGCAACACAAAGCCAAGAGTGTAAACATACCACCTGGCCCAGCAGCATCTAAATCTAACTACAATGGGGAATCACTGAAGCCCCCTTTACTAATTCAAGTGCCCCTCGTATCACCCATAGGTGCTGAAGGGCACACAACGTTTCACACCTGGAGCTGAGTTCGGATTCCTGTGTCAGTCCCTTAAAGTTCTTAAAAATCCACCTCTGTGGGGTCTGAATTCTCCTCCCCTCCCATAGAGTTTGGAATTGGATCCGCTTATGCCTCCTAGAGAGGGCCTTGCTGAGACTCCCTCGGTTAACATGCACTACAATTTTCCCCTTCTATATTTGGCTTCCCTCCCTCCAGCACTAGGTCTCCCCAAGAGCCACATAATTACCATCTGGCAAGGAGAAATCAGTTCATTCTCTCAAGGTACAGAGCGTTCCCGGGGAGACCAGGTAGCTTCTGTATGAGTTACGCTAACACCGCCCCACTGCCTGGACCCACGGCTCCCTCGACAATAGGATCTGGTTACCTTTTGTGTCCTGCATGACAATGGAGCTGTACTTTAAGAAGGTTATCAGCAGGTTGCTGGTCTGCACATCGGCATCCAAAGGCAGCTCTGCAGAGCTTATAACTGGAATAAAGCAGAAGAAAGGCATTTATCCTCTGCATATCACATACAATGAGCAAGGGGAAGATACTCAAAGAACTTGATTCTCAGACGTTAGGGTCTGGGTGTAATGAACACATTTGTACATAAGAACGGCCATACTTCATCAGACCAAAAGATCCATCTATCCCAGTGTCCTGTCTTCTGACTGTGGCCAATGCCAGGTGCCCCAGAGGGAATGAACAGAACAGGGAATCATCAAGTGACCCATCCCCTGTCAGCCATTCCCAGCTTCCGGCAAACAGAGGCTAGGGACACCATCCCTGCCCATCCTGGCTAATAGCCATTGATGGACCTATCCTCCAGGAACTTATCTAGTTCTTTTTTGAACCCTGTTATAGTCTTGGCCTCACAACATCCTCTGGCAAGGAGTTCCACTGGTTGACTGTGCATTGTGTGGAAAAAATACTTCCTTTTGTTTGTTTTAAACCTGCTGCCTATTCATTTCATTGGGTGACCCCTAGTTCTTGTGTTATGAGAAGGAGTGAATAACAACACTTCCTTATTTACTTTCTCCACACCAGTCATGATTTTATAGACCCCAATCATATCTCCCTCCCCCCCGCCCCTTAGTCGTCTCTTTTCCAAGCTGAAAAGTCCTCATCTTTTTAATCTCTCCTCATATGGAAGCTGTCCCATGCCCCTAATCATTTTTGTCACCCTTTTCTGAACCTTTTCCAATATAATTTTTTTGAAATGCGGTAACCACATCTGCACGCAAAATTCAAGATCTGGGCATCCCGTGGATTTATATAGAGGCAATAGGGTATTTTCTGTCTTATGATCTATCCCTTTCTTAATGATCCCAATGTTCTGTTTGCTTTTTTGACTGCTGCTGCACACTGAGTGGATGTTTTCAGAGAACTACCCACAATGACTCCAAGATTTCTTTCTGGAGTGGTAACAGCTAATTTAGACCCCATCGTTGTGTATGTACAGTTGGGATTAGGTTTTCCAATGTGCATCACTTTGCATTTATCAACACTGTAGAGATCATCTAATCTCCCACTCCCCAGTCAGAGGTCTTGTGTCACAGTGAGTAGGGAACAGCTCCTTCCAGAGCCCACCGCTCCTGCTCCAAGCTCTGGCTAGGGGTCCCAGCTCTCCCCTCCTCCAGACCCCACAAGTGCAGAGGACGCTCCTGCTTTGGCACTTCAGCGCCTACCAAGCCCGGAGGCGACAGGTGACTGATTCCAGCAGTCCGTGCAGAGGAGGCTTACACGGATTTCATTTGGAAAGGAACGTGCCCGGGAAAGGCCCTGCTGAGTTTCAATAATAGGATTTGAGCCCTTAAGAAACAACTGTGAAGAGGTAAGTGCCAATTGCATGCCAGGCTCCCTCCCCTTTCTCTCTGGGACATTGAAAACTGCCCCCTTCTCCTGCAGGAACAGTCCAGAGCTGAAAAGCTGCAGCGCACAGAGAGGTGCTGCGTGACCAAGGAGCTTTGCTGTAGGTCAATGCAGAGATTTTTTTTTGTAAATGCCCACCAATGTTTCCCAAACGAAAGCTTTACGGGCAGCAGCTCTACAGATTTACAGCAGGCAGAAGCCAAGTTCAGGCAGATCACGGTTTATGGTAGTGAAACTAAACAGCCGCATGGAGACATCTGCCCCTAGCTGCATCAGGCCGGGAGGGGGTGAGCATTTCTGATACAGACCTTGCTCCCGTCCCCCATGCCTCTGACACCTCAACACGAGACACCTCTGCCGTGTGCTGCCAGTTACCCGGCTAACTGCCCTCCCCTCAGGTCCCAGGCCCCAGTCACCTCGGTTTGGGGCTGGACTCAGGCAGTTCTCTTGCTCTGCAGCACCCTGTGATCAGCCCTGCTCATCTCAGCAGGTCTGAGTGGCTACGTCTACGCTGTAGTCGGAGGTGCGATTCCCAGCGCAGGAAGACATACGGGCGCTGGCTTGGATCGAGCTAGCATGCTACAAATAGCCGAGTGAGCAGTGAACGGCCACCCCAGTACAATCCCATTCGAGAGCCTCGGTACACGCGAGGGTGGCTAGCCTCAGGCAGGCCGCCAGGGCCACACTGCAATTTGTGGTATGCTGCACAGCCAGCACTGCCCCCAGGAGCAGTGCCCAGCGGTTAGCACAGGGGCCAAACCGCCTGCGCCCAGCAAAGCATTATTTATCTAGAGCCAGGGCATTTCAGGTCTTAAACCAAGAGCTGCGGAAGACCCAACTAGCTTAAGTTGTCTCCACAGCGTCTGTCGGCCTGTCCCTCTGGGCAGCTCCTGGCAACTGACCACTCCCCGTCTCGCTCCTGAAAAGGGTTTAGTTAGTTCCTGCCTGGCGAAGCAGATGTGTCCTTGGGGGCTGGCGCCATTGCCCTGCAATTGCCCCCAGTGTTTGTTGGGAGGCTGCTTCCCTATAGCCCCTTACGCTGCTCTCCTGCTTTGCTCGTCCGACAGCTCCCCCCGAACGAAAGCACTATGCGTGCCCTTCCCCCGCACAGGTAGCCAGGCTCTCTCGACAACCGGGGCCATGTCTGTTTCGCAGCTCCACGGCCATCACAGCGGCTACCCCTTACATCAGCCGGGGAACCAACGCTGGTGCAGGACCTGGCAGTCTGTTTGCTAAGCTGCACCACATGACATTACCGCTCTGTGATCTGCACTGGCTGCATGGGGGCTTCCAGCTGGAGTTTAGACCAATTAAAGTCCTAAATAGCTTGAGACCTGCTTACCCGCGGGACCCCTTTTTTCAGGCCATACGGCCATAGACCTGGTCTCGTTAGAGGCATGCGCTGGACCCACTTTTGGATGGGAGAAGGAGCTGCTAGCAGCTCCAAGGGGCGCTCGTCTCTGGAATCCACGCCCTCTTTTCATCTGCCCGCAGAGCAAGCACTCAGCCTATCTCTTGGCCTGGCCTTTGGGGGAGAGAAAAGTAGCTGGAGCTTGCACGAGGATTTGGGGTGAGAAGAGGCTGCTGGTTTGATCCTTTAGGCGACTGTGTTTTTAATTTATGTAAAATGCACTTGGAGGCTGGGACAGGAGCCTTTACATCAATAAATCTAAATAAATACACAGACCGCCTCTCCCTGTTCAAAGTGCCTGTTAAACCCCGCGGCGAGATAAGTAAGGGTTAGAGCTCGGAGGAGCAACCAGGCTCGGAAGGGGGAAGGGACTTATCCAGAAATAGAACCCAGGCGCCCAGAGCCAAGGGCCTCTGCTCCAAGTACCGAACAGGAGGGCTTCTCTAGGGACTGTCCCCAAGCACTGCAGCACCCGGTCCTTAGGAGACCAGTGATCCATGCCCAGCAACGGGGGACTGAACTCACGAGAAAGTTCCAACCCCAATTCTGATGTCTGGCTCTGCGCCTCTAAGTCAGATACCTTCAGATATTTTCATTTTTAAAAGCCATCTAACATTCCAGCATGTGTAAGGCAGGAAATAAGGGGATCAAAACTGGCACTGACATGCAGAGGGGCCCAAACAGTAGTGGGAGTTACATGCAGCTCATGGCGGTCGGTCTGTGTGCTCATCTCTAATACAAAGCTGCAGTCCACAGAGATGACAGAGCCAAGCAGCCAATGGGGCCTGGCAGTTTGAATCCAACTGGAGTAGTGCAGGATGGGCCCTTCAGTTTCTGGGGGCTGCACGTCTCCAGGGTCTGCAAGCTGCTCCATTTAACGCAGAGGCTCCTGACATGTTGCTAACGTGACTCTCAAACAGCCAAGTCCATGCACCCCTCTGCTATGGGACTGGAAACTTTCTTACCCCCAACATTATGAATTGCTCATGAAGATTTAGCCAAGGTCGGTAATATGCATTCACATCCATAATGGCTCCTACCGGAGCCGCTATGATGTACGCTGTTGATGAATATTAAACAGTAAGCAAATCAGCATTTAGATACCATGGTGACAGACACCTTAGATTTGTATATTACAGAGGCACAGTTCATAGCAAACAAACAGTCTTATGAAAAAAACTCACTCTGCAGAACCCAGCACTGCTGAACCCAGTTAACCCTACAGCCGTAGCTTTTTTATGAAGGCATAGGGTTTTATTTTGAAATTTTAAAGGGCTTAATTCATGTTACAGGCTGACAGCCGGAGGAATTTCAATTCGGAACACGAGCCTGTTTTTAAACCCAAGTTGCACAGAAGAGTGCCTGGAACCCATACATGGATTTTTCCATGCTTTGTATCTTGAAAATAGCTTGGCCTTTTTTTTTTTTAATGCACCAGAAAGAAAAAAAGCCGTCCATTCGAAAGCTGAAATGTCTTGTGCTAACTCTAAGCCAAGAGCAAATTTTACAGCTGAATTGCAAATCCTGCAAAATGAGAGGAATTCTGACGTAGCTGGGGAGCAGCACAGTAATTTAACCAAACCTAGGCTCCAGCGCTTGGCATCGCAGAGAGGCTGGATCAGAGATAAGACGACAGGGAATGTAAATGAAAAATGCCTCTCAACATGATCCCTGCAAGTTAAGATCAACTCCCTTTTCTTAAGCTTAATAACCCTCCGAGCAGTAGGGAGCCGGCAGCGAAGGCTGAGTGCAGTGTCTGTTCAAAGTGGGCTGACTTCTTTCACTAAATGAAGAAAAGAAAAAAAGGAGCTAGTTGTAGGTAAGCACAGTCCTGTCGGTTGTGTAATAAAGTGCGTGGGTGGATACATTAGCAATGAACAGTCTGAAAGGAAGCGTACGAAGCGCCGGGCCCGCTGCATCACACAAAACACATACACGGGGAGGCTCGAGACATCTTTTTTTTAACTGAAGCTTTCGATATCCATGGTAACCAGGCAGAATTCATCCTTTTGGAGAAGAATAGTCTTCAGCCGGGATATCAAATGACCTGAACAGCAGATACAAGAGGGTAACCCATGCTGCTCTCACTTCAAGACATTGCCAAATTGCGCTCTGTTCAAACAGACTCCATTCTTCTGTTAACTGCTTTCTTCAGACACCGATGGTGTAATCCTGCTGGATTTCTCAGAGTGGGTTAAGTCTACACAATCTCAAATAAAGAGCTGGTCCATACAGCTCTCGTATGCATTATGCACACATTAAAGTATCTTGTTTAGAACAACCAGGCTCCCAGATCTCAGTTTAAGCCGTCATTTAAAAAGCCGGTCTGAAGAATGGGCAGAGGTAATAGAGAAATAGCTGCTGCTTCTCGAACAGCTTGGATTCAAATCCTAGGTTAATTTCCAGCTGGAAACAAGTTCATTAGTGACAAGTAGGCGCCCACTGTGACTAACTGCCTGGGAGATGAGCTCCACCGAAACCTCAGACATGTCCATAAACAAAGCCCTTAAAAAAAACATTAATTGGGTGGCTGCATCCGTGTGGAGACACACTGGGACAGGAGGGCTGTGTCAGTCCCCTTCTAGCAAGATGTGGCTTTAGCTATGGCTTTGGGAAAGATGCCAGCAGTTCCTCTGGGCAGCGTACACAAGAGCAGAGAGTCGGTGTAATTCTTCTTATAAGCAGAAATAAAAAGCCATCGAACGTGTCATCTGGTTCTGCTTAACAAACCAGGTCTCCCAGGAAGACAGGAAATCTCTCTCCAGCTAGAATGGGTTAGCTGCCACCTTGAAAAACTGCCTTGCCATTTATTTTATGGTTCATTTTAAATGCTAACCCCCAAAAGAGGATTAAACATCTCACCGTCTGAAGAAGGCGGAGTGGTCCCGAGCGGAGTGACTGGCGTTGTTGGAATTGGGCTTATCGGCACTGTCACCAACCCCATTTCTGGATGGCTCTGAAGCAAAAACACATGATCTCAAACACACACATTTTATACACCACAGTAATATGGAGCAACACCCACAAGGTATATTACCCCAGATGAGACAGGCTGCAGATGTGTTGGCAGACACCAGAGCTCAAGGCAGCAGGCTTTCAACCACCACCCTGAACAGCACGG